AAAACTTTTAAATTTTATCTACACATATAGCTACTTGGTCATTTTAATTATTCATAATCAAATCTAATGAAAAAATTGCTCTTGTCAAAAACTAAAAAATATTGTCTTAATAACTGTGTCTTAATGTCTTTATAATAATAGTAATGATAATAAAAATAATAATCCATTGGGATACATGTCTTTTTTTACTGGTTTCCTCGCCATATTTTCCATCACCGTACGAGCGAGTGTTATATGCACACATACATTGTTATACACGGGGAGATCGAACCTACGATATCAGGGATGAGAATCGGACTCTGAAGCCATACTGCCAACACTGTTTTGTTTAATATATATTAAAGTTTGATTTACACATTTAAAGTACAACAAATGTAACGTTTCCGTAGTTGGAGGCCCTATTTTATAATATAAAATCTTTATAAATCAACACTTAAACAGACAAAGAAATAATGTAACAGATGGTATTTTCACACTGCCACACAATACAAATTGTTTCATATAATAGAAACCTATAATTTTATATTTGATATGCATATACTTTAGCAGAAATTCATTAGAAATGAATGAGTACTTAAGCTATTACTTAAGTAATATTTAAAAAGTTGACCATAGATCCAATTTGTAATCTATAAAATAGTGAAGTACCTCCAATGGAATTTCCCACAGACGAACGACAGATTTTTAACAAACTGCGATTTCTACGAAAAAAAAGTAGTGTTCTGAAGAATTAATATACAAGTCTCGTATATCGAGCAATATGTTTAACTGAAAGACTTTAACTGAAATGGATAATCACCTTCTTGGCTGTTAAGGAACAAAAATAATCACGAAACAGATATCTGAAGAATTATGCCTAGAGGTTGTAGCACCATTTGTTTTTTATGATTCATTAAGAAACATAAATAAATTTATATGTCCGAGAATACTGAAGTCTGGGATGTAAGGTTGCGTTTTTTATTTTAAGCAAATTACATAAAAAATCATGTATTCAGTCGTTAAAAGTACATATGCTTTACACATTTATATTCAAAACCCGTCTAATAAATGACGGTACAGAAACGACAAGGAATAAATGAATTTTTAATAACGGTTGAAATAACGTACAATTACTGGTCATTAATGTTTTATTGTCAATATATTCCTTTCAATTTGGCAACGTGTAATGTATATATAATTTAATATTAATTATTGTGTTTCGTAATTTGTTATTATTGAATTGTCATTTGAAATATGTACAATTTTTTTTTTAATTTTACTCAATTTCCAAAGCATGTTTTTTTTTAATTTAATTCAAGTTAGGGCAATGAAAGGAGCAGCAGGTAAAGAATAGGTAGCCTATGATTAAGATCTCCTCCCTGAGTCTGTGCGTTTATAAGTCCAGCCTTGCGATTCTGTAACTCACTTTTCGAACTCTCACAGCGGTTTTCGCAGCGGCGGTCGCGCTCAAATCAGTCGTGAAGCAGTCATTTAACGATTTAGCATTCTGATAAACAATAAACTATGAGCTCCCTCCGCTTATCAAGACGTAATGTGAAATTGCTTAACAGAATACCTTGAAATTCCAAAAATGGAAGGGAGCGAGGTGAACTTACGGATTAACAGAATCGCACGGCAGGTGGTAAATTTGAGTAAAAAGTAATATTTTAACCTCTTATATTGTGATAAAATTGCCATGTCTTATACTCAATCTAAGATTGTCAGACACAGGGAGCCGATCGCTTACATCGGTTAAGGAAAATACTAAAGAAGAAAGGGTTTAGCAACTCTAATATTTGACTGCCTGTATATTTTTATATTAGTAATTCGAAACCATAATATCCCTTTGTCGAGTTAGAGCTTCTCAATTAATTTAACAACCGCAATATGTAGAGCAAGGCAATATCATACGTAACATTGTTCAATCACACATTAGCGGGGCGTTATTTCAAATCCTATTTGCGCCATTGTTCTCGGGAACAAGGCCCGATGTAATTATACGCAACAATTGATAGGACTTAACCCATAATAATAACATACAGTATGCAAGATAGCATCGGAAGCTGATAGCAAAATGCAAGGGTTTTATACGTTCTAATAATTATATGTAGTTTAACAACGCACTGGGACACAATCCGTGGAATTTGATTTAAGGATTACTAGATTAACTGGAATCAAGGCAGCTTTAAAGAATATTGATAAGTAAATATTACTCATACATATAAGAGGCCAATGCCCATGTATTTACCGTAAACATCTCATTTTTGTATAGGTTTCTAAAATGTTCAAAATAAAGTACAACACCAAAACATACGTTAACAAATCTTTCAAAGTTTAACAAGAAAAGCGCCATGTCATATTCAAACATTCGTGGCACATTCGTATTCTGTCAACATCATTACCCTATAGACCCAAGCGAGATAACATTATTATTTTATAAAGGAAGGAAGGAGAGGTAAATACACATTATGTTGTGTTTTCAACATTCATTCCAACGTCTAGAAGTCGCTCATAAATTGTGCGGAGAAGCCTCTATTTATCACTTGGCGTGTGGACTCCGAATTTAATATATCAAACACATTTATTACATTCCGGAGAAAGATTCACCCCTTTAATGAAAAGGTAAATTTTGAACGAATATCTGGTTTTATTTACCTTGATGAATATGTTTTTTTAATGCCAATATATAATAGTCAGTTTGTGAAAACAATCTAATGCTTTTAACCGAAAATGTGTCTAAATAAGTTAAATACTGCTAGTAGACGACTATAAGTTACTCTAACATCATACAAAGTAATTACTAAACTTAAACTTGAACTCATTTAAGCGGATGGGCTAAATGTCAATCAACCTCTATTATTTTCGTATTATATCCGTATTACGTTTTCAAACGGTATAAGTTTTTCAATTTTTTAAAATTCTAAATTCATACATTATATGTAAAGGTTCTTATCTGTGAATCTTTTACAGAATTTGACAGAAAGAGAGAGCTTTAGTTAAAAGGGCGAAATTAAATAGTTATTATCAACTAAATCAGTACAATTTGGCCCTTTTAAGTAGGGTGTAAGAAGAACATACACTATCTGAGGTTGCGAGTAGCTGCTAAAGCTGTGTTAATTCGTGATTGGATATGAAACCAAGACGCGATAAGCTTTTGTTAAAACTTACCAAGAATAATTCGTAAAATAATAGAAAAGTAATTAAATATTTTCATCGAAAATTTTGCTTCATGGCAGAATTTTATAGGACGCAATACTTTCGAGCTATCTTAAACTAAAAGTAGCATATTTTTATGAATACATGAAACCATCGAAAAAATTGGTTCACTTCCCAAAGAAAGAACTAACTAAAATGTCGTTGTATCCTGGTGAAGTCATTGTAATAATTTATTGTATTATCTGTGATATTTGATGAACAATTGTTATTATGAACAATATTTTACATAATAAAGAACAAACCTTATTTGCTTCATAGCTGATTACTACTCAATTTTAAATGAAGCATAAAGTTTATTTATTTATTTCGTAATCATTCTCATATCAATCACATTTAACTACAAAAAGGTTAAAAAAAATTACAAAAGGAATCTACATAGAGCAAAATCACCTCCATCATGAGCATAACAAGGGTATGCTCATGATGGACGTGATTTTGCTCTATGAATATTCTTAATACTCCTTTTAACCATATCCCGCGATAGCTTTTTATTTTTATAGAACAAGGGGCAAACGGGCAGGAGGCTCATCTGATGTTAAGTGATACCGCCGCCCATGGACACTCTCAATGCCAGAGGGCTCGCGAGTGCGTTGCCAGCCTTTTAATAATTTGTACGCTGTTTTCTTGAGGACCCTTAGTCGAATTGGTTCGGAAATACTTCTGTGGGCAGCTGGTTCCACAAAGTGGTGGTGCGCGGCAAAAACTGCCTTGAAAAACGCTCAGTTGTGGAACGGCGGACGTCGAGGTGATACGGGTGGAATTTCGTATTCAATATAAAAAAAAATGTAAATAGCTTAAACAAGTCAAAGGTTAAATATTGGTTGTTGTATGTCCGGGCTGCGCGATATAAAACTGAGTTTTTTGCGTAGTTAATGTTGTTGTGAGGAACATGAAACAAAGCACGATTACGAGTCTGGTAGGCTGGAACAAGGAAGGGCGGTTTTTCTAGAAGGGAGCTGCAATTAATTTTATTTGAGATGATGTCATGGAGAAGCAATAAATCTTTAAACTTAACTAACATACGATGGAGATTGTACTTATAATGAAGACAAAGACGGTAAACTTAACGCAAACCTAAAGGAAACTTAGATATGCAATCGACGAGTGCAAACTCGTCATAGTGAAACTGCAGTATTAATCATTATTAGTTCCCAAAACTACACAAATATGGATATAGTTAGTTATATAAAGTTAGTGAAGATGTTGCGCTCCGGAAGCAATCGACTCCTAGAATTGCATAACTCATATGAAATTGATATCCAACTTTGGAGGATTTGTGTAAATCCTGTTCGAATTTAAGTTTGGATCGTGTCTTGGTACTTGTTTGGTTTATACGAATGTTCGAGTATAATATAATTTATTATTTACATTTGGTAATATTGAGAAAAGATTCAGGTTTTGTTTTTAGTATATATATATATTTTATTCAATTTAAGCAATATACGTGATATGCATTAAGTTATGTTAGAATAGGCTTATATTATAAATATTGTATAGCATTTTTTATGCTGTAAATAAATAAACGCCATAAACATAAAATTACTTGTTACATGCATTTTGTATATAATATACACATATACAATATGTGTTGAGTGTGTAGTAACGTAGGTATTGAAAACTTAAATTAATGCCGTCAAAACCTTTGCTAGTGTATTAAATGCAATGAATTCAAACTTTAAAAGATATAAACGGCCAGCGAGAAACCACGTCTGCTAAAGATAACGTAATGATTGTATAGCGTATACATTTATAACTTTTATATATATGTGTAGAACTCTTCTCATCTACGTAAAGTAAAAAATAACTCACCTAAAAGACAGTGTTGTCAGCGGCCTATAAGATTTATGGCTGTGTGGATCAACCATCGGTGTACCCCAAAAGTCATCCAAAAACAGCTGTTTCAGGCTACTCCCCGTCACATCACTATTCGTCACTATAGCAGGTATATCGTCATGAACAAAATCACCATTGAGACTGTTGATATAACTGAGAACCGCTGTAGTAGTCACCATGGTATACACAACCAAGTCACTGTTGCACATACTATGTTGGGGAATATCTTCCCTCACTGGCGGTAAGCGGCGTTTCATTTTGGGGCTGGTTTTGTTTACAGTGACGTTCCTACATCTGCACATTTGTAATCTGTAACAAAAAAAAAAACTTACATGAGTGTATGATACAAAAATAGGGACGGACGTTGGTTCTGGAGGTTTATGGATGTTATATGAGCATTCAACACACACTCGTACTATGAAGGAAAACATCGTGAGGAAACCGGCATGTCGACGGCGTGTGTCAGGGGCGGAAGGCTGCCTATTACAAAAAACAAATCATCACGAAAAAGATACAGAGCTCAGTCTAGCCCAGACCTAAAAATTGTAGCGTGACGGATCTACAGACGATAGACCAATTTATACATTTATTTGATGACAATGAGCCGGTAAAAGGTTGTCAAATCCTGGCGACCACTATAATTTTTTAAGTTACTAATAAGCTTAGTTTTTATTTATTGTATTAGAATATTAATTGTTTTTTTTAATTCTCTCATTAATTTATGTTAGGCCAAAGTCTGTTTTATTTCAGTCTGTGTGATAATTGGTTTTTTTTCAAAGTGCGGCATTGAAACAATTGTAGATACGTACACCAAAATACGTTTAAAATACTGTAAAAACTACTAAAAATAATTATTAAAATAACAATTTTAAGATACTACAGTCATAATCGTAGGGTAATACGAATATACAGATAGTATTCCAATACAGATAATATTGGAAATAGAAGATTTATATAGTTTCATTAAATCTACGGTTGCAATTAACTTTAAACATACACAGTAGCTTGGTTCAGTTTTTGATAAACAAATATTCTGGTTATTTTCACTTACGTAATTATATACCAAATACATTTTGATCCGACATCATGTCGTAGAATAATCTGATAATTTGTAATCACATTTTGCTGAATTTGCTTTAGTTAGAAACAATGCGAACCGATAAATATTTTCCTCGCCACAAGAGTTCGTTCTAGAAATTAGTTCCAATTCTTTTCTTTACTAACACCAACAAAAGCGTGCAATGCACAACGCGTTCCACAAACATGACATATAAAGAACGATCTCACTCATTAATAAATCTATTCATCATTTCTCGTTGGGTATAAATAGATTAATGTATAATTTATTTGAACTAAACTTAAGAAACAGATTTTAAAAAAGGCAGACAGATTCTAAAACGTAGATAAAATCTTGTGTTTATTGTAGCGATGTTATTTCCACAGAAACAGAAGAAGAATATCGTATGAAGTGCTTGTTCTGTCAGCCGTTGGAGTTATAGTACTCGGCTAGCTGCTGCGGTTTGCAGAGTAGCCTTCTAACCGTTACAGCGTTAAGCTGCCACGTTAACATTTAATTATGTAAACCGTCAGGACACGAAACTAGGAGCCTTTTTTTCAATAATAATCGAGGTTCCCACTTTTAAAGTGAATTATCCGTTATCCGTTGCTTGTATATCCGTTTCAAGAAAATACAAGAAACTCATAACATTATAAAATATGACAGATTAGTGATGAACTTATTAAGTATTGGCCACTTTTTACATTAAGCCGCTTTTCATTTTCTAAAAATTTTCAGTGTTACCTAGGTATTTCGATTAATCTTGAATAAATAAAGTGACTGTTAATGTATATAAGACTCTCAGTAAAGAATTAGTAAATTAAAAATTTAGACCAAATTTAAATATTAGGTCCTTACATATGAAATTGTCGTATTTCGTACTGGCCACTTTAATCACGATGTTCTCCTCTTTGGTAAGGAATTCCAAATTCAAATTTGTACAGCTATTTACTCATGTATTTGTGCTTCGATGACCGTCATTCATTTGTTTTTTTTCTGTTTGCGTCACTCATTTTACAAAATGGAAAACTTAAAGTATCGCATTATTTACGAGTACGAGTTCCGCCGTGGCACTAGTGCTGCGGAAACGACTCGAAGGGTGAATGATGTGTATGGCGGTCATGTTGCAAAAGAAAACACAGTTCGTTTTTGGTTCCAACGTTTTCGTTCTGGAAATTTCGACCTGCAGAACAAGCCCCGTGGACGGCCTGAGACCCAAATTGATAATGAAGTATTGAAGGCTATTGTGGAAGCGGATCCATCGCAAACCACGTCCGAGTTAGCTGCAGGCTGCGGTGTTAGTGATAAAACTGTTTTAATTCACTTGAAGCAAATTGGGAAGATTAAAAAGTTTGAAAGATGGGTACCTCACGAATTGACTGAAGCAAACCGGCAAACGCGCGTCGACTGCTGCGTTACATTACTGAACCGGCACAATAATGAAGGTATTTTAAACCGAATCATTACCTGTGATGAAAAATGGATTCTTTACGATAATCGAAAGCGCTCAGCGCAATGGTTGGATCCTGGCCAGCCAGCCAAATCCTGCCCCAAGCGAAAATTAACCCCAAAAAAGTTACTTGTAAGCATTTGGTGGACTAGTGCCGGTATTGTTCATTGCAGTTATCTCAAATCTGGCCAGACTATTACGGCTGATGTCTATTGTCAGCAATTGCAAACCATGATGGAAAAGCTAGCGGCTAAACAACCTAGGCTGGTCAATCGCTCCACGCCACTGCTACTTCACGACAACGCTAGACCACACACTGCACAACAGACGGCTACCAAATTAGAAGAGCAATCAGAAAAGAGATTCAATTGGAATGTCTGAGACATCCTCCGTACTCCCCGGACCTTGCTCCAACAGATTACCATTTTTTTCGAAATTTGGACAACTTCTTGCAAGGGAAAAAATTTAACTCTGATGGGGCAGTCCAAATCGCCTTCACAGATTTTATTGATTCCCGTCCGACTGTTTTTTTAGTAAAGGGATCAATGAACTACCTATGAGATGGCAAAAGTGCATAGAAAACAATGGTTCATACTTTGATTAATTAAATATATTATATTTAAAAATATTCGACTTTTTGTTCCTCCCATACAAAACGCCAATTTCATATGTAAGGACCTAATATTTACAGCGTGACGCCGGTGGTCCATTGGTTGAGAATAACAAGCTTGTAGGTATACTCAATCAGTTCTTCGGAAGACTTCCAGCCCTTTATAACAGGGTTTTCAAGTATAGAAGCTGGATTAAGAAGACTATGTCTAAGAATAAGTAGTGCTACAAGTGTACACAAAATGGAATTTCTTCATTTTGAGTTTCATAATAAAATTGATAGAAAAATTCTGACGTTTTTGCTTAGGGCGACAATGTGCCAACAATTATCCTTAGATTGATATTCCTAGATGAATGAAATACCTACAGTAAATTGCGTACAAAAATAATTGTTCTTTATTTATTGCATTAATATAATAAATTAATAGATAGTATTTAAAAAAACCAAGTAGGAAAACATTTTTCATTTAAGCAAAACCAGATATTTGCATTTTACAGAAGGCTCTAGATACGAATCGTTCAGACACACGTCTGTTCTTCGAAAGATGTTCGTGGCTAATGGAATGTCAAATAAATGCATTCCTCGATTATACGGCATTTATCTGGGAATAGGAACATTATAGTAACATAAACATCTGTATGTAATAAAAGAAAATATAGGAATATTCTTTAAAGCTAGTTTTATTTTTATTATTATAGACAAATTAATAATGGTATATACCACTTATATTTTTTTTAGTTAGGTATCAAGATGACGCTTTGTTTAAGGAGGAGGAGGTATATCTTGTGTATGTTCAAGCCCTCCGCCAGTGGAGCCATAATCGATAGTATAGGTATTACAGCGTCGTTGGTGGTCTTTGGAAATCTAATATATAAAATTCTCGTGTCGCGGTGTTTGTAGTTAAACTCCTCCGAAACGAACCACGAATTTTCCGCTTTTTTGGAAAACCGACAAATTTTTTTTTTCCCTCGTTAGGTCCACCCCCTAAATTATTATTTTTTAAGATTATTTTTTTATGATACAGATTAACAAATACATACAACCCCTAACTCCCCCACCCCCCTACGATCAACCCCTATTTTCATTAGAAATTACATGGCAAAAGGGCGGCGCTGGCAAAACGACCTTTCCCCCCGTAGATGTATATTGGGTATAAAGCCCAACTACTGAAATTGGGAACTTACCCCTAGACAACAGTCTACCTGCGGGGGTTTGCAGCGCCCAAAAACGTTAAGGGCGACGCCATGGACTGGGTGGACCCGGGGGGCGGGGGGTCTGCGCGGCGTGCGAGTGAATCAAATTAGTATTTAGGCGCGCGCGCGCGGATTGGTGGACGCATTTAGCATGCAAAACAAATAATTTTTTTTTGTTTTTATGAAACAATTTTTTAGTGAAATATGAGTACAGCATAGATGTCAAATAACATAAATACATACACCTTCTCTAAATTTGTCCAACTGGTCGAGCTGTCGCATCACCCCTCAAACGCCTCTCGCAGACCCTCTTCCTCCACCGCAGAAACGTGGCCAGCTCTTATGGGTCTTTCTTTTTTCCTATGTAACGTCTAAGTTTTGATAGAGACATCGCTAATACGCGATTTATATAGAGGGATTTTCGTGCCCTGTTACGGATGTCATTTTGATTGGACGGGGACCAACGTTGATAACTCATCTTCGATTGATTAAGATTATGTTAAACTGTATTTTTACCAGATAAACATTACGTCACATAAATATGTAATCATCATACCCATTTCTACATAAAATATACTTTAATTAAAACTTCTCGATAATTGGCTCATATGAATATCCTCAGGTAACAAAATATAATTACCGAAAATGTCCGCTCTTGACGAATTTACAGGCGCGCGCCACTGAAGCGAGAGCCTCATTAATATTATGAAGAGTACTCAATATATTTCGTGTCATTGAATTGATATTAATAGTATTGTATATTATTTTCATAATGTATATTATTAAGGACTAAGTGATTATGATGGATTTATATTGTATTATTGCTTCCCGAGAAATTATGCGACTGGATCTCCAGCTTTCAGGGCGATCGGAGCATCAAGGTCGTCATCGACGCAGCATGTTCCGACCTTAAACCCGAGATCGCTTCCCACAAAACTGTCCTATCCCCGACCCTGTTTCTTCTTCATATTAATGATACGTTGCAATTTAGC